ATTAGTATCGCACTGGCTTATTGAATGCGATGTGGCCTATACAATGAGTTGCGTGGGCCGACTGATATACAAGTCAGGGCTTTGACCTCCCCGACAAAGCTGGTTACAATTTACCGTCCCTGGAGGGTGGAAGGCCTGCTTGCCCTAGGTGGAAGTCAGGCCGGGATTTGAACCAAAGACCGAGCGAGTCGTGAACGCACTACTTGCCACACACCACCTCCGCCTCCTGAGAAGGGACACTGTCCAGAAAATTTCGGCAGCTTCTTGGGTTCTTTTCTCACTTATGAATCAATTGGCTCTTATTTGTAGTCGTCCGCAGAATGCCGCACGGTCCTCACTCCCGACTCCAAGTTACAAAGTGCGCCTTTAATGGGCCCTTCAATACAAATTGATTTTGCCCCATGCAAGACTATTGTATTCTACTCTACTTCATAGACCAATAACTTGGTGCCATGGCTTGCCGATTTGTCGCTGTGCCTGTTCATCCGCAGAATGCCTCGTGGGCGTGACATAAGGAAAGTGTGATAGGGGAAAACGACCGCAAAACTGGATACCAATAAGTTTCGCGGTATCAGTCTAACATGATGATATGATTATGTCAGCACCGGTCTGTAAAACATTCTTATTCACACCTGTAGGAACGCATTTGCGGCATACGCTGAAGAATCTAGCGCGGCTGGTGGGGGTGAAACCTAGTAAAAGGATAAGTGATGAGCCATTTGATGTCGTTTAAAATTTTCAGATTTGTGAATAAATCGAATATGCTCTCCATCCAATTTTGTGGATGGAAAAGTAGTTTCATTTTGATCAACTTACTTTGGGATAGTTGTGGATGATTTCAATACCCTTTTCGTAGACATACTCTTTGCCTTCTTCCACGGGGCAGGTCACTCCTGGAAAAAGTTCATTGAAACCTAAGCGATTGAGCATAAAGCATGCGTTGGGTAATATGTTCATTGAAAGTCAATGATTACAACTTTTGGCAAAGAGAAATAAATGTAAACCGACGGAATGAATGCTTCGCCCAAGGACGAGATTCACTACATCCCGCCGTCCTTGAACACAACTTAAACCTTGGGAGTAGCATTAAGTCTTAGAGGCAAGATTTACACTCACCTGAATGAATAAAAAAACTCACAAGTCTTCTAGCCATGCCACCCCTAAGACGCAGACTCTGATTTGGTGCGCCTCATGAGCAGCGCACGTCGTAGGATGCAGACAGATAGAGCGTTTGACTATGGTTATGCGGGTCGTAGGAAAATGGGACGACTTGACCTCGTTAATGACTTGTCGCACCTAGGATTCGAGGCATAATTAACGAGGTGCGAAGGGACCTCATTACGAGGTGCGAGGCAGGTCAGCCGAGGCACGCACGAGCTACCAAGATCGGAACAAATTGAGTGAAAACTCTCAACAGATTAAAAAAACGTGAGGATCTTCCAAAGGGAAGAAGGCTTACGAAAAAGTAATACGATAAGGTAGCGCTACCTGTCAAACTAATTGGAATGGTATAATGCCTAACTTTCAACTAAGCATCGATAAAAAATATAAGCTCAATCATTTCAAATTTCATGACGAAAAGCTTCAAGAAGTCACGTGGAAACCCATACTGTTTACGAAGTGCATCCTTGGATATCGCTGAACCTCATTGCCTGCCTTCGGCGGGTTAGTTCAGGTAATGACCCTCTGGCCTCTTCTATATTATCCCGATAATGACTTCTTTATCACTTGGAAACCCCTGTGGCAAACACAACACCTCAACGAGAGGTCATGAGTAGATACTTAAGCTAACAGGTAGAAAGCAAACACGTGAGTTGTTGTTGAGCAAGTTCCTTGTGTTGTCATGTATTCAAGTACTAATCCTTCATTATTATATTCTGCCGATTCCTGCTCTTATGTGGATGCAGCCGTTCCGTTTTCAGGGTTTCCTCAGACGTCGTCTCCCACACCTTTGTATGTAACACCGCCCCACAATTTTTATCCGGTACCAGCACCTTCGTATGACGTAGGGCTTGTATCACCATGTATCATAATTTAAATCATAATTTAGGAACCGGAGTACGCTAGGACATTACGAAAAGAGTACATGGAGAGGAAAGATAAAATATCTGAGGAAATGGCGCAGTAGGATCTTTTTTCAAATCTTTTTCTTCGTTTACCCATTAACGAGACAAGTATTATTTTCAGATTCAACGAGCTTTATCAGCAGGGAGTATCAAGTGCCCAAATAGAGTCCTACTGCAGAAAGATGTCCCAGTTTGTTACAAACAAAACTATATGATACATTTTTATTCGATTTGCACACTTGTTTTTGTTTGAATAGTTGTAATAGTAATAATAACAATAATAATAATAAACTAATAAATAGCTGAAATATATAGCAACCTTTTTACCCACTTAAATTTTCGATGAATTCATGCCATGAATTTGGATAGCTTAATAACTTCTCCTCTTACCGAGGCCAACCGCAGTTAGCGCGACGTGCCTCGGCTTAATGAGGTCGCTTCGCACCTCGTTAATTATGCCTCGAATCGTAGGTGCGACAAGTCATTAACGAGGGCTCAATCGTCCCAATTTCCACCTACCCTGGTTAAGCGTGTGACTCGCTGCGCAGCAGGGCGAGCGGAACGGGGAAAGCGGCACGCCACTGCAGGACCCATTCAGCTCGCACATGGACCAGGATCCAAAGAGGTGCGGGAAAAGAAAAAACGGTAGTACATTGAAGAATTCAGAAATAGTTACTAAACGTGACTTACCGTACTTACAAGCATCAGCGTCAGCCATTGGAAATTCGAGGAATGTCTGACCGATTTTGGCCTTGATCTGGGTGGTTAGCTTTGACACTGTTTCATCTGAAAGGCATCTGATATCTGGATAGTGAGAACAGTCTGCAGGATCAACGTAGGCTCCATGGGACAGTGGAGCTTACCTGGGATGAATTTGATCTTAATCCTAGGCGTAGTACCTTCCTTAAACTCGCAGAGCTTCCTACCAGTGGGTGTGTCTTTCAGGTGACATCCAGACGCTTGCACATCTAACACTTTGAATTTCGACTCTGCCAAGGCCAATCATTAATCAATCAATTTAATCAATCAACAGCAGCGAGTAGAAGCAAGTCATAGCAGAACAAGTGGAACTCACTGCAGTCTTTATAACCAATTGTTTGGAAATCCGCCGACACTTCGAGTGCCAAAAGAGACAAAGTAAGTAGATTGACAAAATTCCACATCTGAAATCGAGCCCATGACAAGTGAATATTCTCAAATGAGGAAAATCTGGATAGAAGATGATACTCACGGCTGAACAGGACGGCAGTCTGGTGTTCAATTGATTAGGTGGAACCCATTAGGTCGATAGACCACGAGAACAGCTGCGTCCCAGTGGCAACTAGTCATGCTGACCTAGGGGCCAACAACGGTGTGTCAGGCGCTCTCGGCAATCTGCAATCTCGGTCTTCACAGATGCGGAAACCAATCATATCCTGAACTGCTCTAGATGAATGCATTGGTACAATACTCACGAAATAAGTATTATTGTTTATGGCGCCGCTTATCCGCTCTTGCGGACCAGCCAAAGTTTTCGATTTTTCACACCGACTGGGGCCATTGAACTGGTACCATATTCGTCTGGGAGGGTAGAAGCAGTTCATACATCCTTGCAAGTCATTGCGTAGGCTATATCGCACTAGGCAACCCACTACGATTCTGAATTCAAGTAGAGTGGTAGCCGCATAGGGTTGGGAGAATGCCACCAAGGGTCGTAATTGATCGTTGGGAGGGGCTCGGATTTAATCGATGAAGATATCCTACCTGGCCTTGAAGTAGGCTTTCAAAGCATCGAGAAAATTATTTCGGCTGTTGACTTTCCGCAATCTCCCTCCCCCGCCCCTTGTTGCCCGCTCGAATTCGGTGGTGGGAAGAGATCGGGGAGAGGGCGTCTGACAGTCTTTTTTCCCATTTCGCTGCTGTACCCTGATGCCGCTTCCCAAAAAAGGTTTTAAATAAATATAGCACTTTGATAGCGGGTTATTTCGCTCTGGCCGAAAGTTCTTACCACAGGAACCCTGTTTTCAATGCTAGCTATACTTCACTATTCAATTCAATGCGAGTCAGGTCATAGTACAACCAAGTGTTACTAAATCTTCGATCTTTACAGCCAACTGCGCTCGCGACCTTTAGACGATAGCGTTCTGTTGATTTACAGATGTTGATGAAGTGGTTTACAACGTCTTATATGCAATCACATTAATACCAGGAAACTCCTTCAAGGACTTGCTCTGCGCTGCAGCTAAGACCAGTACCTCCTCTATGACGTTCTGTAGCGGTCAAAAAAATTCAAGGGAAAAGTTTGAGCTGGTGTCCTCGCAATCAGTCGGGGCGGTGACAGAAAGAGGGAGCCGGCCTTTGGTTGCCTCCATTCCCTCAATTGAGCGGTCAGCGGTCGATTCAGGAATGAAATAAACAAGGTACAAATAGGGAAAACCTTGCGAGTAGATTCAGCGAGCCTTCTGACTCCAGCGCGACGTGCATTACTTTTTTATCTTCTGACCAATTTCAATTCAGCCCATTCTTTTCAATATTGCAAACAGATCGCAGTGTTTTCATGCGTGTGGTAAGTACCACGTCCTTATTTATTATAAACGACTTTTTTTTCAGAGACTTTGGGGCTATCGCGGTCTCCCATTCACCGAGTTTCGAGGAGTCTCTCGACATTCTTTCCATGTGCCGAAGCAAATAGCTACCGTTTCCTATAAACAAAATAGTAGTGAGTTCCTGGACAACCGAAACCCTGAAATGAACTAGGAAGAGTTGGCATGAGAGAGGTATGATCTGTCCGATAGTTCTGCAGCTCACAAGGTCATCCATTTTTTTGATAGATTTTCGCCAAGTAAGGTTTCATTCCAATATTTAGAGAGGCGTCTCCTCTAGTCATCATATTTTGCCCGAAAATTTTTTACTCTGATACTGCAGTCAAATCGAGCACCATTAATGAGCTGAAAGTTAGTAAATTGTCCGTCAAAATGTAACCGGATCTCCAGAGACAATGGGCTGGTTCTGCCAACTTCACGCTGTGCTGAATACGAGCGCAGGTGGCAAAGAAAAAAAGGAAGTTTAGTGAGCAGCTTGTCTATTGAGGAATCTTTGGATTCATCGCCCAGGTTCTGTGACAGCTGTGACTTGCTGCCAAATGCCACGCCTACCACCTCTCAGGGATTTCGAGTGTACATTTGTCCCATAGCTCTCAAAGAAAGTCATGATAAGCAGTTCAGTATCAACGAGGTAACCCAAAGTGTCGAAGTTAAAAGAGTAAGCTGAAGAAATATTCGAAGAAGTTATTATTAGCGTTAGATACAAGTAAAATGAGTTGTAATGCATTTATTAATTCAAGGCATGCATTCTTGCGGGCACATCCATTATCGAAATGGTTCATCAGATCATTTCAGCCGATGTGCTCTGATTTGCTAAGGCTTGTTGATCATGTTGTTTTGCGCATACATTACGCATGTTCTCTGTTGGTGAAGCTGACAGCGTTTTGCCCGGAATTTACTTATTCATAAAATACGACAAGCCACTAAATAGATGGGATGAAACTATTATTGTAACAAGAGGCGCCTCTTGAGACCTGGAATGTTTGGGGTCTTATCTCCAGTCGACTCCCATTCAGGAATACCAGGCCTCCAACCGAACTGTCGGGTGAATGATACCAGACTCGGAGAAGTACAGGGAGAAGAAAGGCATGGCATATGCAACCACGCTTCTTGCTGCCCTCCGATAAGGATGGTAACGTATGTGACTGCGGACTTATCCTGCCGTGCTCCCCTCTACCAGGGCATTTCTTGGCAGAATTTTTGTAGGACTATATTTCGGCATACGCTGCGCATGCCAAACTAAAGAACATCCGTGCTAACGCCAAGAAAGCACAAATGAAAATGGCGCACGCGAATTCCCATCCATCCTTTGAATGAGTACAGTATATTATTAAACCCTTTTCCGCACATTCTCGTAGTATAAACATTTATTGAACATTGGCGTAAAGTCCAATGCTTGTACGTTAGTACGTCCTGCGGCGCTTCACAATTAACTGGCGCGCCGCTTTGGGTTACGATGTAGCGTGGCGTAATACTGAAGTGGAGTTTCTTGTCGCAGGAGGGGGGTGGGCGTTCGCTACCTCTTCGAGGCGGGAGAGGTTTGTTACTCACAGCCGCTATTTCGCGCATCCCCATGCTGTACCCTGGTCTCGCCGCCTTTTGCCATCCACAATCGATCTTGACCACCTTGCGCTCGTCCGGTGATCATGATCAATTGAAATAAAGAGGGTCTTATTGCGGGCGTTTTTCGTCGGTTTCTTCCCTTCAATAAGTCAACAATCATAGGGCAATTCTATTTTTAAACTGTATTACCTACGAACTGTGGTCGCGGGAATTGCCTTTAATCTCGGCATGGTTGTGATCCCAATTTGTTCACCTGAGCCGACAGGTTGGTGAGAATTTATTACGGCCGATGTTTCGGGCTTAGCTTCGCCTTCGTCAGAGCCTGAAAGATCAGAAAGCAGCAGAGTGACTATTCTTTCAACCCCACGCTTAACTGAAGCTGAAGACCATTTCGAGATACCGGTAAACCACCCAACAGTATCGGTCAGTAAAGATGACTTGGCTTACCTTGATCGCGGTGACGCGAGGATGGACCACCCTGGCTGTGCTAGCAAACGTTGAGACCTGCCCCTTTGTTTGCATTGTATACCCTCTACCTCGACCTCACGTAGATCAAAATCCACAGAGGTCGGAAAAGGGCGCGAACTCACCGGTAATGGCCGCACACTCTTCTTTTCTGTTCATCGGGGCGGGGGTCTCTAGCCGAAATCCAGAAAGCTTCCTTCGTTCTGGATTTCCTCCATCAACAACATCTGAAGTAATCTGCAAAGAAAGAGGGATTCAATCTTGAAAAAACATCTCTCAAAGCTAAACAGTTTTTCTTGTCGAGCTCTTTAACTATATCACCTCACAGATCAGCTAGAAAGATGTTTCATTGATTCCACGTCTTTTTTCATGATCTTCTTTTTTCATGACCATCTTGGTGTTATTGTTTATCAATTCTCACTTATTTATAGGTTCTCCTTTCAGGTGAGCTATTTTTATTTGGAAACCGGTGAAAAATGGTGCGTACCAAACCAGCACCTGAACCACTTTTCCCAAATGGACGAATAACGAGGAGGGAAACACTGCTTGAAATTATTGATGAAGTTTCTGAAGAGTGAGTTTTATCCACTGCATCTTAATACGTTTATGTTCGCTAGTATACCTTGGTCCACCTTACTCTTTGGTTTCACTGTTTCGCGCAATGTAAATACGAAGTCTGTACTGCAAATATGCTATCAAGTATGACCGGAACTGTGCATGTGTTTCATATCTGTAGCGAAGCATAAATTTATAAATCGGCGCGGTTAGGCGACGGAGGAGGTGTTTGTTTTGCACTTCCATTGTCGTGTTGATTTATCAAGAAGAGACTAGTGAAATCTGGTGAAGCCATAATGTAATGTTTAAAAAGTTCTGTTAAAAAGCTGTTGTCACCTTTTGGAAAGAATTACTTTATGCTCTAAAGCAGTAAACACGACAATGGGAGGCAGCAAAATGCCCCTATCCTCTGTCGCCGGATTTAGCCCATAAATCTTATTCTCCTTTATATGGGGGTGTAGCATGATTTGATAATTCCATAGACACTGCG